GATGAGAATGTCAGGATTACAGAGGAAATATGAACATATGAAAGAAACCACATACAGCTGAGTAGGAGAGGGCTCATGGGAGAGTTACTGATGGAGGTATGGGCACAGTCTTTCAAATCCTATCAACTCTTTTGTTTCTTTCTCTGCAATAGATTCCTGGAATTTTATTACAGTTTGGGAAGTGGTCTTGACTCTGAATAGCAAGGAATACATTGATTTTTGTGTGATCCTCTTGAAAAATTATCAAGTGGTCAAAAAATGAAAACTTCAGTTATTCTCACAAACTCACAAATCTCACAGACTGATATGTTGAATTTGATTCTGTAAATTCTTAACACAGTGGATATCATGATCACTTTCAGAAGTACCTTGTTTAATTCTTTTTTTGGATTTTTCACGTTGACTACACATTTAACCTTCAGGGAAAAGTTTTGTTATGGCAAGGTTGTACCTATTCTTATCAAATGTCCTCTAAATTGATTATTCGTGTGTGTGGCTTAAACCAGTGACTGACAGATTTAGGAAAAAATGTCAAAGTTCTACATTTCTTTGACTCTCTTTAAGCACAGTTATGTCACATAAGGTTTCCTAGGAACTGTCCTGTGTAGACAACTGATATTACACTCCACATGATTTTAATATTTAAACATTTTTCTCAAGTGTAATTGTGTTTATCTCAAATAAATCTCTAAACCTCAACTTCTTCTATAAAAATATACCACCAAATCTAGTCTTCAAAATTTAAGTGTGTAGATATATATAAAAAAATCAACAAGTATTTTTCTTAATTTTTTTTCTTAGTGGGCATTCACAGATGACAAAATTTCACCATAATTCCGGTCAGTTATACAGGTCACACATTTTGAAGATAAACAACTGAAAATTTTTCCACTTTGATAAATAAAACAAAACTTTCTATTTTAATTATACCATGAACTATTGTGTGTCTTTGTGGGTATATGGTGATAGCAGTATATTATGAAATATTGCAAAATATGTACTCCAACTTCTAAGACATTTATGAAAAATTAAACAATACCAATTATTATCCTTGAGAATGAACCAGTGTATAACATATTTTGTGCCACATTGGTTTGTATATGGAAGAATAATGAATTTCCTTTCACCTTGTGAAGGTGATAAAGGACAGTGTAAGAAAAGGTCAGAGACAATGGCTGTGTATATTTAATTTTAATTCAAGAAAAAGTCTTAACAAATGCCCTGAATTTCTATCAGATCAAAAGTAATCATACTAGTAATTTCTGGCAAGGAGCAGTGGTACACCCTGTAATCTCAGCAACTTGGGAAGTAGACATCAGGAGGAGGCCAGCCTTTCAAAAAGTTAGTGAGACCCTATCTCAGTTAATAAGGTAGAAGTTGTGGCACATACTAGTCATCCTTGCAATATGGGATGGTTGCAGTCTGAGGCAAAATGTGAGACTCTTTCTGAAAAGTAACTAAACAAACAAAAAAGGACTGGAGGCATGGCTTAAGTGGAAGAGTAACTTCCTAGCAAGTAGGATACTCTGAATTCAAACCCTAGAATTGAAAAAAAAAAGTCAAATAATTTCCAAATAAATAAATCATTCATGTATTAAAAACATCTTTCTACTGTTATGAAAGAATACAATTTAGGTAAGAGAGTATGAAGGGGCTATCATGTTTTTAAGGAAAGATTCTGTTAAAATTTGATATTGAATAGAAATGTACTTTATTTCATAGAAATATATTTCTCCAATTTCATTTACTGGTATAATATTTTGAAGTCTACCACCTTCCACACAGGCTATCTAACCTTTTATACCTGTTGTTATAAGTCTGAGAGTTCAACACTGCTAAAAGCACAGTAATAAACGGAGCCAGTTTTCCCAATACCTTATGAAGTTTTGGACCTTTCACACTGAGGACAAAAAGGGTGATCATGAGGTCAGAGACATCAGTGGAGAAGACTGTATTGCCAAGAAGTAGTATATTTCTTTAAGTTAGAGTTGAAAACGAAATATGAGATGTGATGACAATGAGCTTTCTTCATTACCAAACTGGCTACTGTTACAAAATATTCACCTGAGCAATATGAACAGGATGAAAAAATTGAACAGATAATTAATAAAAACACACTAACCATGATGAATCTACAATATGCAATGAAGAGAGTATTAGATCTGAGTATCAGATGCCCAGGTGTTCCATTCAGCCAGATGGATAAATCACAGACAGTTCTAAGATGTGATAACTTAGTAAACATGAGCATAAACTGAGACATTGGCTAAGCTATCAGCTGAAGAGAATAAGAGAAGATTGCTACAGACAATCAGGAAACTTGGATGAAACAAAGAGTATCTTCTCCTCCCCGTTCCAGGACATTAGTATTTTAAAAACAACTCTGCTATCTTAGACTGACCTACCCCTAGGAAAAGTATGAAAGAATTGGAGAGTGATTACCTTGTTGCCAAGTATAATTTGTTGCTTTATAGAAATAATGTACATTGCAACTGAGCTTATAAATGACTAGGCTAATTGAATTTACAGTGTCAAATATACTTAAATTGCTTTTTGATGAGGGAGAAAAATACACAAAACCTAGTAAGTAAAAGCAAGTTATTTCTCAGCATCCTGAGAGTGGAGTGGGAGGATCCTTTACCAGTCTTATGTGGGTTCCTTTTGCAACAATTTTAAAGAAATTAATGCTAAAGCTTCCACTCCAAGATGGCCTCACCCACTTTTTAGGTGATTTGCTTCCAGTTTTTGGCTGTGGTATTTCAATACTTTCTCAAGGAGTATCTGACTTATAAGTTTTCCTAGTTTCCTTATATAGTAGTTTTTCACACTGTTTGAAAAGAGAGAAAGTAGAGTAATGGGTAGCAGAGCCACTACCAATGACTTTGTGCCCACAAATGCTTAATCTCATAAATTACTGTAAACAACAATGAACATTGGTTGTAGATTCTGAACATATAGACAAAGGGGGATCAAATGTTCCCAACACACTTTATAAATATCTAAGTAGTAGTGGAAAAATTCTTATTTACTGCTGTCTTGCATGCCAACCTCAGAACAGGATTATAGTGCTACAAATATCTGCTTTTTGTGTGACACCATATTGTAAGTAATCATCTGAAAATAAGACCTCAATGCTCTCCTCCATATTCAAGTTGTCATAGGGAATACTTCATGAGGCTCTAGGTCCAAGTTGAACAAGAGGAAGACATAAAGTAATAATATGGACCACAGACATCTGTACCCATTCTCATGTGATTTACTTGTGTGTTTAAGATAGTACTGCAGCTAACTTTTGTGCATGCCTAGTTTTATAGATTGGTTGGCTAGACAACAATTTATTCATGATGGGAAATGAAGATCCTATGGCAACTTGATGGGCTATTGCCAATCTCTAGTTTCTAGCAGACTCTTAAAATTTCAGAGACTGTTCTTCAAAATGTGTGTACTTATTTACAGAGGAAGTTATTATGTCCTAAAATCCTAAAACTTCTGTCTATAATTGAATTTATGGCTTTTCCAAAGGTCATACCCATCTCAAGGAGTGGGTTATGTGTTCCAAACAGCACAGGAATTTTCTTGGCAAACTAGAGTTGTTAACAGAATGTTTTCTCATTTTTAGATCCTCTCAAAATAGACAACTTTTGGGTAATTTTATAAATTAGTTATAATAACTTGCCTAAAATCAGTGTATGTTGACTTCAAAATCCCAAGAGACTCATTGAATTTTTGAGTACAGAGAAATTATTTGATTTTCATTTTAATGTTAATTATAGGGATAATTTTAATTATATGTTAACAAAGACTCATCATCATTTTCACACTGCAATTTTTCTGTGTAATTTAAAGGAAATTCAAATCATTAAAGATGATATGATATGGGAAGCCTGACATTTGCCTTAATTGTCTATTTTGATGCTTGCAATTTTCTGGTTATTCTCAAGAGTTTGAGTCCCCAGGGCAATAGAGTTAGTTATAAAACTGCCTTGGAATACCAGTCACACCCAGCCTACAGAGAAACAGGAGGGTGGAGGCCTGTTTCTCTGTAGCAGGTAAGTGTATTCTGATTTCCCCTGTAACTGTGAAAATACCCATTCTCCTTTTATTGTCACTAGGATTGTCTTTGATCTTTCCCTCTCTGTTAAGCCACTGTAAATGTTACCTAACTCTGTGACAAATAACGATGTTTATATGCATAGAAATGTTTTTGTCAGGTCCTTTTACAAACAGCTCAGAAAGGAAAGAAGTAATTTAATCAAAAGTAGGCTTTTGTCCTCCACGATGGCTCGGTAACTAACACATTCAATGAAAGAAGTAAAAGTTACCAAAATGCAATTGTTACACTTTTCTTAAATTTCTCTAATATTTATTTAAGTATCTCAATGGAAAAATCATATTTTAATGATTTGAAATAATTGAGATGCATTAGCAAAATGCAGTAGCAATGTGCATTGCATTTTAGAGCAAAGATTTAATTTCTCTTTCTTTTTGTTGGTAGTGCTAGAGTTTGAATTCGTGACATAACACTTGCTAGACAGGCATTCTACCACCTAAGCCATGTTTCCAGCTCTTTTTTTTCCTTTAAAAAATTTTTTAGATAGAGTCTCATATTTTTGCCCAGGCCCTGCCACAGGCCATACGCCTACCTAAGGCTTCCCAGGAAGCTGGTACTCCAGGCATACACCACAATACATGGTTTATTGATTGCGGTGGGGTCTTGCTAACTTTTTCCTGGGCTGACCTTTAACTGTGCTACTCCCAATCTCTGCCTCCCAAATATCTGGTATTACAGATGTGAGCCACTGTATACAGTCATATTTTACATTTTTAAGAGTCTTCACTTCTTTATGTACTTATGTGCAAATAGTAGAAAGTTAACTATCACTTATGTGCCTATTATGCTCATAGAAAGTCAGGACATAATTGTCTTTTACTCCTATAAACTATTTTTTTCAGGGGTCATCTTCTTCAAGCTCATTGTCCCATTAAAAGGAATTATGCAGATGACTGCAAGAAATCTGAGTATGGAGACAACCTTCACCCTCTTAGGCTTCACAGATTACCCAGAGCTTCAGGTTCCTCTCTTCCTTGTGTTTCTGATCATGTACATTATCACTATAACAGGAAACCTTGGGATGATAGTAATCATTATGAGTAACCCAAAGTTTCACACTCCCATGTACTTTTTCCTCAGTCACCTTTCCTTTGTAGACTTTTGTTACTCTTCCATCATCACACCCAAGCTGCTTGAGAACCTGGTCATGGCAGATAAAAGCATCTTCTACTTCAGCTGCATGCTGCAGTACTTCCTGTCCTGCACAGCAGTGGTGACTGAGTCCTTCTTGCTAGCTGTTATGGCCTATGACCGCTTTGTGGCCATCTGTAATCCCCTGCTGTATACAGTGGTTATGTCACAGAGGCTATGCGCCCTGCTAGTAGCTGGATCATATCTCTGGGGTACGTTTTCTCCCTTGGTACTGCTTTGCTATGCTCTCCAGCTAAAGTTTTCTGGACATAATGTAATCAACCACTTTTTCTGTGAATACACTGCTCTCATTGCTGTCTCGACCTCTGACATTCACATCCCCCACCTGCTGCTCTTTGCCTTTGCTACCTTCAATGAGGTTAGTACATTGCTAATCATCCTCAACTCCTATGTGTTTATTTTTGTGACTGTATCAAAAATACGCTCTGCCAGTGGACGTCACAAAGCCTTCTCCACCTGTGCCTCCCATCTGACTGCCATCACCATCTTCCATGGGACAATACTTTCCTTGTATTGTGTGCCCAACTCCAAAAACTCTCGGCAAGCGGTCAAAGTGTTAGGGTCCGAGAATCCTATTCCTCTGAGTGACAGAGAGTCACACGTGAATGCAATCAACAAAGCAGACTTTATTGAGCTGGCAAGCCAGGGTCAAGCTCCCACACAGACACACAGGTCTGATTGGGCAGACAAGACCCCGAGCCTCTTTAGGGAAGATCTTATATAGGCCCCTACCGGCCGTTACAGCAAAAGCCCGCACAGTACATAGCCAATGAGTTTGTAACACCACATACATTTCCAGCCTATCCATTTAAGAGTACATTACTTCTTAGCCTATAGATTCAAGGGTCAGTATTCCCGCACATGGTTACATTTAGCAAGCAAGCAGGGCACATCTTGCACGTACTTCTAGTCATCTTTCACAATCTGCTCACATTCCTCACATTCCACCTGCCCCCATCCTGTTTATCTTATCCTGCACGGGGCATCCTGTGCTGGCTTTACTGGTTTCTGCTATGGGGATCTGCTGGGGCAAAGGGCACATCCTTTCAAAAGTTGCTTCTATCTTCTACACAGTGGTCAACCCCATGCTGAACCCTCTGATCTACAGCCTGAGGAACAAGGATGTGAAAGCTGCCTTCTGGAAATTAATGAGTACAAAAGTTCTACTCCACTGAGCCAATATCTAGAGATTTTTCCTATCCTAATGAATAATAAAGACAGACTAAAATGCTGAAAATGTGTAGAATATATTTGAATGAAGTTTCTGTTGGGGTCTCTGATGTTTGAACTGGTAAATTCAAATCCCTTGAAGAAGTAAAAGAACTGAATACTGGGATGAATTCCCCAAGTTTTTTTTTTATTTCAAAAACATTTATTTCTTTGAATGTTGTAATAACACTCACAAAGAAACACTAAAAACACAGTAGATGGTGCAGTGTTTAAAATATTGTTACTAAAAGAAGAATGGTTATCCAGCACAGAAAACACTTTTCTGATTGTTAATGTGTATGTATGACAGTGATGTCCTGGAAGTTAAAGTTATTTGCACTGGATCACTGAAGTACTGTGCCTTTCTTGGGAGATGCAAATGGTTATAATGCATGATAAAAGAGAGAAGAGCTGTTTTCTGATATCTTTGTACCTTGCATTCTATGACTTCTGTAGATAGAAATCCTTGCACTTTAAGCAGTGATTTTGGTTTGTGAAGCACACAGCATGAAGTTAATCACATCTCCTGGGTAGAAGATGACACAGACTTCTAAGGAAATAGTTGAGAGATGATTGTTAGGACTTGAGAGCTAAGCTCTACTGACTATAGATACAGCAACCTCTTTCTGTAGTACTTCTCAGGTTCTATCAGGGAAGGTCACAGAATTTAATTTTATCTTTCAGAAAGGACAAACATTGAAGTCATTTCAGTATTCGTAGATAGTAGTTGATTATTATCAGCCAAAAGTTTGTATTTCCCAAACCATCAGTTTGGAGCTGCATTTCCAGCCATTTTGCTTGTATTTTGCTTAGGGAGATAGGGTCTCACTACTTTACATTGGTTGGTCTCAAATTCGTTATTCTCCTGCCTTTTTCACCTAAGGCTTAAATCACTCCTCCCAATCTTAATATATCTTTTTTTTTTTCTGTCACTACTAAGGTTTGAACGTAGAGCCTCATGCTTGTTACAGGCACTTTACTATTTGAGCCACTCCTCCAGCCCTCGGATGATTTTTTTCAAGATAAAATCTCATAAACTATTTGCCCAGGCTGGCTTTGAACCTTGATCCTCCTGATCTTCTGTCTGAGTAGCTAGGATTAGGGACATGAGTCCTTTTGCTTTGTTTTCTTTTTTTTATGAATTTCATTTCAGAGTCACCTAACAATTCATGAAAGGAGGGAGTTTAGAATCTTCCCAATTTCTGGCTCCAAAATAAGCTGGGGTTGCAAAGATGGGTCACCATGCCTGGCTTTGTTTGACTCTTGATTCAAACTAACTGGAAAATGACACCTTTGAAATAACTGCAGAAATTTAATCATGGATTAGGTATTGAATGATATAAAGAGTACATTTTTTTGTCATTGGCAATATTGTTACAAGAGTTTAATCAAATTATCATTTACAAACGGTCATAAATGATCAATTTAAAAAACTGATTGAGAAATAGAATATTCTACATATGTTATTTTGTTTTAAATAACTCATTTTTATAGGAGTTGAAGTCAGGATCTCACTATCCCTATCTGTGTCCTGATACTTCAGGACCATGCACATTCCACATACATGTGTCTTTCAGGCTGTACACATGTTTATTTAGCCAATAAATATATTTAAGAAAACACATTTACAGAAAAAATGACAATGACCCAGTGCAGTTCTTGCATTTATTTGTTTTGAGGCATGCAAATTTTGCAGAAGTATTTTATTATTGTTGTTTCCTTGAAAGACTTCAAAAGCACTTAAAGATTTTAAATAACATTTATAAATCTCCTAGTTTTACAATTTCAGATTATTTCAGAACATTTGAAATTATCTATCTGTACCTCAAATGTACTCCACAAATGTCATTTTGTATTTCCTTATCATAAAAGGAATCAAGTTAGGGGCATAAGTACAGCTTTGAATTAAATATAGATACGAGTAGACAAACTTTTTTATCCTTGTTGTTTTGTTTCTTGGCAGCACTGGGGTAGGAAATTTGGGTCTCATGCTTGCTAGCAGGCTCTCTTACTGTTGAGTCAGTCCTCCAGCCCCCACTTCTTTTTTCCTTTGTACAATAACTAATGTCATTCTTTGTAATTCTTGTTACATTGTCATAAGGGGATTCAGAAAGTACATATCCCCACATATTGTGGAATTATGTAAAATAAATGTTTTTTCTCCCTTTGTGACAAACTCAACACACTTCTCCCAGTCACTTGCATAGCTCATTCCTTACTTCACAAGTGCACCTTACTGTGGCCTTACCTGACTTCTCTGCTTAAAATTACAATTCCACTTACAGCCCTTTGCTTTACTAGAAAATCATTATAACCTTAATTTTGTGTATTGTCCCCTTTAAACACAAATTTGAGCAACAAAGGAATATTCTCGCTCCTGTGTCATAACTCCTGAGGTAATACCAGGCTCAGGGTAATCCTGTTACAAATTTTTGTGAAATGAATAAATAAATGAGCAATTATGTATGCTCCTATGTATTTAATCTACTTTATGGTGTTCCAGAATTAGACAGCAATATTCATAAAGTAATAACTTTTAAAATTATGGTTACTGAGTCCTACCTTTCTTTTTTTATTGTTATGCTGGGGATACATTGTGTCATTTGCAAAAGTTCTTACAATATATCAAATATAGCATGCTTGAATTCACCCCTCCATCATTGTCTTTTATCTCCCCTCCTCCCAGAGCCTGGCCATTCTAAAAGTCTATGTTCAACATTGCTGCTTATTACAACAGAAAGATTAGGTATCTTTTTAGAGGGTTATTTTAAAGAGATTAATTTTTATAATATTATCATATTAGTAACTTTGGATGTAGTTGGCATGAAAAAATGTTTGCTCAATAAATGAGCATGATAAAACATTATGAATCTACTTTTAAGATTTTTCTAAAGGAGTTAAACATGGTGGCTTACGCCTGTAATACCAGCTACTCAGGAGCAGAGATTGGGGAGATGAAAGTTCAAGGCCAGTCCAGGCAAAAAGTTAGCAAGATTTCATGTCCTCTAACAAGCCAATACTGTTGATGTGCATCTGTAATTCTAGCTATAGGGAGGCTAGACACGGATAAAAATGTAACACCCTACCTGAAGAATAACTAAAGCAACAAGGACTCAGGGTGTGGTTCAAGGGGTAGAGCACCTGCCTAACAAGCACAAGGTCTGAGTTCAAACTACCCAACCACTCCCCTCGAAAAAAAGATTTTCTAAAGGAGGAATTGAGACATTTGTTTTCATTTATATTCAATTTTACTATGTTATAGTTTATTTTGAAAAATCCTTTTTTAAAAAAATTTTGAGGTGCTAAGGTTTTGAACTTGGCCTCATGTTTTCCTACATTTGACCTACTTCTCCAGCCGTTTTGAGCTTTAGTTATTTATTTTTTCAGGTAGGGTTTTATGTTTATTATGAGTCCTGGCACCAGCCTCAGACTTCAATCCTCCTTTTGATAGCCTCCTGAATATCTGGTGTCATAGGCATGCACACTACCTGGGCTTCGTGATTGAGATGGATTATAGTAGCTAGGGGACTCAGCAAGAGACTTTGTAGGGACTACATCACTTATGCATTTGAATGTTTGCTTTATCTAAAAATTTCTTTTATGTGAATTATGGTGACCTGAAAGCTGGATATTCAACCTCCACCAGTGCAGTCAGAGTGTGTGATATGCAGGCAAAGCAATTGATTGAGAGTCAATCCATCAATATGCAATATTAGTGATCTTTATAATTGCATATATTTTTATAATTGGGGAGTCTAAGGGGTTGAGAAGTTGATTAATATACATTTATTTTACATAAAATGTTCCTGATGTTGATATAATTTATCCCAGGTTTTCTAGCATATTAGAATTGCATCATATTGAGGTGATTAAATTTAATTGCTTACTTTGAGACTTCTAGAGGAGAGGGTTTTAGATAGTCTCTAGGGTCCATGTCTCCAATGTTGTAGTTACAGATAAAATAACTCATGTTCTTCTCCCAACCAGGAGAGGTCCTGCCTTTGCCATCATCAGGTTTGTTTTAAAATCATAGACAGATGGGTATCAGCTTTAATCTGAAAAACATCTTTAGAGGAAGAAAACTCACCGTTTAGAACCTGATGTTTCTTGTAAAGCATTGTGAATGAGCAAGGATTAGGAAGTGCACTCTTTCAGTTAAACTTTGTATTTGGGGCTTGGCTCAGCTAAGTGTTCCATGAAAAAGCAAATACCAGTGTGAGGGAGCAGAAGATCTCTCAGGATTTGGGCTTTATATTATCTGAATTTTATATACTTTCAGGGGAGAAATAAAAATAGAATTGACAAATGTTTAAGAAAAATAAACAGAGACTGAATAGACTAGTAAAAACTGGGGGATAGCTTTAATTAAGATTATAGAAACAGGACATACATGTGACCCTTAATAGCAAATATATATATATATATATCATTGAGAGAAAAAAGCTCTCTGGGAGAATACCTCACTTATCTTTTTTTTTTTTCTTTTTTTAACCCTGTACTCAAAAGACATAGAAACATTCACTAAGAATTTAATGTTAGCATTTAGGAGCAGTTACACAAAATGTAACATAGTAAAAATAAAAATGGAAAAAACCTTAGATATGTGAAGTGTGATGCTAAAAAAAGCATGATAGTTTTGTCTGACTTTTGATGGATTTTTGAAGTTACTTTAATGGGAAAACATGAGCTGTGGAAAAAACAGGGCCACTCAATTTTTCAGTCTTGCCTGTCATATGACATATATAATCATGGGCTATCAGAAAAGTACTTTTTACAGAAAAAATAGGAAAAGAAATTCCTGGCATGGTAGCATGTAAATGCTATGGGGATATAATGAGCAAAATTTAAGTTTTTAGATCCTCTTTTTTAAAGTAACATCTTCATACTGCAGTACTTCCTAAAATGGCTACTCCTCTTTCAAAGGTAGCATTGGGACAGAACCAATATACTAGGTGTGTAAAGAGATAAAAGATAGAGATACTAGTAAAGATAGAGATAAGAGACAGCAAAACAAGTGAGACAAAGGAGAGAAGGAGAGAGAGAGAGAGAGAGAGAGGAGAAGGGAAGTTTCTGTCAGAGTACTTGTTACAGTTACTAATTCCTGATTGAGAAAATTCCTCAAGTCCCTTTCATATGTGTTTCATCTAGATGCTGGTTTCTCATATGTATTTGCACAATATATGCTCTCACTGTATTATTTACCATACGATAAGAATCTCTAGTTTGCTCACTAATTGAAAATATAACTATTAATAACATAAAATGCTAATATCTAGACCGAATAAGAAACAGAGTCTTGTAGTCAGAAAAGAATATATCATTAGTTGTCAGGGTATCAGAGTTCAGTCACAGAAATGGAGGTTGGCCTTTATTTGCATATAATAGGAAGTCAAAGTTTCTCTGCTCTAGAATAATGAAGTAAATGAGAATATTTTTTATAATCTGTTGTTATTTTATTATTACTCAGACAATAAGGAAAATTTTAAATTGTTAATTTTTAAAATTTTAAAATTTTTAACATTTTTAATGTTTATTCAAACTTAGAACTTACTCTGAAAAAAATGTTTTTTTTTGTATTACTATTATTGGTTCAGATAGTCAAATAGATTTAAGTGTTTTATGGAATTAAAAATAAAGGCACACCCCAGCACCACAAAAATAAGATAGGATTGTTAATAGTAAAAGATATAATTTGCCCTTGGGATATACCCAAAGGAATGCAACACAGGTTACTCCAGAGGCACTTGCACACCCATGTTTATCACAGTGCTATTCACAATAACCAAGTTATGGAAACAGCCAAGATGCCCCACTACTGAATGGATTAAGAAAATATGATATTTATATACAATGGAATTTTTCTCAGCCATGAAGAGGAATGAAATCTTAGCATTCTCAAGTAAATGGATGGAACTGGAGAACATCATTCTGAGTGAGGTTAGCCAGGCTCAGAAGACCAAAAATCATATGTTCTCCCTCATATGCAGACTTTAGATCTAAGGCAAATAGAGCAATGTTGTTGGGCTTGGGTCACATGATAAGGGGAGAGCACATGCGGGAGGTGTGGGGATAGATAAGAAACCCAAAACATGAAAGTGCTTGATGTCCCCACTGCAGAGGAACTAATACAGAAACCTTAAAGCAACAGAGGTCAACATGGGAAGGGGATCAGGAACTAGTGTAAAGATCAATTAAAGATGAATCAACTTGAGTTGTAACACATTTTTACATGAAATCATTGCTAGGAATCTCTCTGTAGAGCTATCCTTATCTCAACTAGCAAAAATGCTTTGTCTTTCTTACTATTGCTTATGTTTTCTCTTCAACAAAATGAGAGATAAGGGCAGAACAGGTTCTGCCTGGAAAGGGGGGGAGAGGGATGGGGGGCAGGGGGGCAAACAGCCCAATCTATGCATATGAATAAATGAATAAAATAAAAAAGAAGTTTGACCTTTCAAAAAAAGATATAGTGTGAATATATAGTATATGATTGTATTTAATTATACATTATTAACTATACAATTAATTATTATATAATTAATAATTAATTTGTTTTGAAATTTCTCATTATTACTGATTATAGGACTGAGGTTAGTAGTCATGATATTATGTTAGGCCAATATTCTATGAAATTTCAATGTTCAATGTGAAACTTTAATATAAATCTTTGATGTAAAATATGTATGAATATCTTGTACCAATTTCTAGTGTTTCATGACTATTATATATATGTAAATTTTTAATTTATATCTGTGTACATTAAAAGTATAAAGTAGTTGTTTAATTTTGATATTTCCACTATAGGAATATAATGATCAAGTTCACCTACTCTATTACTCTTTCAAATCCCCCATTTGATTTTAAAACAATTGTAATGTGTCACATTATTATTTTTTCATATTATATTTGAGAAATCATAATTTGATTCAATATTTTCTTTCTTCTTCACAAGCTTTAAAAATGGTTATGCAGGTGCAGGGGTAGTGGGAGAAATGACCCAAACATTATGAACGTATGAATAAATGAAAAAAATGGTTATGCCTGTTAAAAAATTTAGACATGTAGTCTTTCTTGTTCAATAAAGTCCTAGGTTCTGAAAGACCTGTAAGGAGAATGAACCAAGCTTCCTTTTTTTACTCTCATTACTTTTGTTTTCAGGACTTTCAGTTTGTGACAAACAGAAACCATGCTACTCTCAGATAGAAATAAAAGTGAGGCAACGTTCACCCTTTTGGGCTTTTCAGATTATCCAGATCTGGAAATCCCACTCTTCTTGATTTTCCTGGCCATTTACAGTATCACTGTGGTAGGGAATATTGGAATGATTGTCATAATCAAAATTAACCCCAAATTGCACATCCCCATGTACTTCTTCCTCAGCCATCTCTCCTTTGTGGATTTCTGCTATTCCTCCATTGTTGCTCCCAAGATGCTGGTGAACCTACTTGCAAAAGACAGAAGTATTTCACTTTCAGGATGCATGATACAATTCTTTTTCTTTTGTACATTTGTGGTAACTGAATCCTTTTTATTAGCAGTGATGGCCTATGACCGCTTTGTGGCCATTTGCAACCCTCTACTCTACAAAGTCTCCATGTCCCAGGAGCTCTGTGCCATGCAACTGCTGGGGTCATACGCATGGGGTGTCTCATGCTCCCTGATACTGACATGCTCTGCCTTAAAATTATCTTTTCATGGTTTCAGCACTATCAATCACTTTTTCTGTGAATTCTCCTCATTGCTTTCCCTCTCGTGCTCTGATACTTACATCAACCTTTTGCTGCTTTCCATTCTTGCCACGTTTAATGAAGTGACCACATTGCTTATCATTCTGCTCTCCTATGTGGTCATTTTTGTTACCATTCTCAAGATGCATTCAGCCAGTGGGCGCCGCAAAGCCTTCTCCACCTGTGCTGCACACCTGACGGCCATCACCATCTTCCATGGAACCATCTTATTCCTATACTGTGTGCCCAACTCTAAAAACTCTTCGGACACTGTGAAAGTGGCCTCTGTGTTTTACACAGTGGTGATTCCTATGTTGAATCCCCTGATCTATAGTCTGAGAAACAAGGATGTCAAGGATACAGTTGGAAAAATATTGGACACTAAAGTTATTTCTTATTAAGAATGATATTTTAGTTTATTTACTTTATATAAATTTTGTCCATAAAATTTTATTTCAAAGATATTATTAACATTAGCAGAATTAAATAGTAACTAAGCTATGAAACAGCCAAGATGTCCGGTACTGATGAATGGATTAAGAAAATGTGGCATTTACACACAATGGGATTTTACTCATCCACAAAGAAGAATGAAATTTTGTTATTCTCAGGTAAACGGATGGAACTGGACAACATCATCTGAAGTGAAGTTAGTCAGCCTTAGAAGACCAACAGCTGCATGTTCTCCCTCATATGTCATTGTAGACCTAAAACAAATGCAGCAATATCATGGGACACAGGTCACACTAAGAGAAGGCCTTGCATGGGAGGGATAGGACAAGGGAAGGAAACTAAAAACTTGAAAGTGGTTGATGTGGACACTGTACAGTAATGAACATAGAAATTTTAAACTGGCCAGGGCCACCATGGAAAGTAAACAAGTGAGGAGTGAAGAGGACTAAAGAGATGAACTAATTGGGTTGTACTACAGATATGCATGGAAACAACACAAGGAAACTCCCTGTGCAGCTATCTTTATCTCAAACTAACAAAAATGCCATGTTTCTCTTTTTATCTTTTCATGTTTTTTATTCTATAAAATTGGAGAACAGGAGGGTGGAACAGATTCTGCCTGGGAGGAGGGATAGTAAGGCACCAGAGTAGGAGCTAAGGTGGCAGGGAAATGGGTAGGAGGAAGAATAAAATGCAAATAATCTATATACATGTATATAAATGCAAAAATGATAACTGTTGAAACTATCTGGAATCAGGGGAGGGGAAATGAAAGAGAACAGTGGGGGGGTAATTAAAGTATGATGTATTTGATATATTGTAAGAACCTTTTTAAATGCTACACTGTACCTTCACTCAGCACAACAATAAAAAATATTGCACAATAGAATGGAGACAGATTTTGATATCAAATGAATAAATGTGGCTCTGTGTTTTGTTGTTGGAAAACACCAGCAATCTGTCATCTGTAATATTACATGTATAATTTTGAAATATGAGATAACTCATAGACTGATTACAAAGCATAAAGGATAACGTACGTATCATAACAGATAATTTACATAAGTAAAGTAATATTATTCCCATCCCTCTTCCTTATATTATCCTGGAATAAAGTAAGCTCTTAATAAATAAAAAAAATGGAAGTGACCATTTTATATGGAAAGAAATAAAAGTATTGCAGAGAGTTTGACAGAAGAGAAATCCATTAGGTAAATGAGAATGATGCTTTTTTAAACTTGGTATACTTTGAACTTACCCTTAAAAATGAGAATGGACAAAAATTTGGGGAAATATATTTTTGAGAAAAAAGTTTTATTACAGAAAAAACAGAATTAATAAAATCAAGGAGGTCAGAATATAATACTGAATCAAAATTATAACTACTATTTTCTTGAGCTAAAGTGATGCACGTTTTCTGTGTATATGTGCCTATCTGTTGTGTAGTGTATACAAGGTACACTTGAAGTGGTTTAGTATGTAATCATTACAGTCATTGACTTTCTCAACTTCTGGGAAAATTACTGCACAGATCTTCCAAGTTACAGTTAAGTAGGAGGAAGAAATTTTGGTATTCTGTGGCACAAGAGTTTCAGTATGATTGAAACTAAAGTATTATATATCTGAAAATGGCTAGATGAGAGAATTTTGAATGTACTCTCTTCTAAGGAAATGCTAAAAGTTTAAGATGATGGATATGAAAATTAATCTATGTTTATCTTTCACCAAAATACATATGAATCAAAATACACTGTACTTATAAATATCTACAAATATGTTTTGTAAATAAAAAAATGAAATATGATTAAAAATTTTAAGTTTTTATGTTAATATATGATTCAATTTATGTATAGTGACTATGAAAATATTTGCATGAATGTTTAATATTGGGTCAGCATGGTGCCCCACAAAGTAATTACAAGTACTTGAAAGGTAGACATAAAAGATGATGATTCAAGACCAGCCAGGTTAAAAACTGGCAAAACTTTATCTCAACAAGCTGAGAGTGATGATGCATGCCTACATCCCAGCTATGTGAGAGGTGGAGGTAGGAATATCCTGGACTGAGTCAGCCAAGGCAAAATTCTGTGTTAAAGGGCTAGGTGTTTGTCTCAAGTGGTAGACACACTTCCCTAGAAAGTGCAAGGCCCACCTTTTTCTGGTATTTGAGGATCTCTGATTTGGCTTCTGATCCTACATCCTACATAAAAGAGCTGTTGAGTGTGTGACTAATTTTTAAGACCAATTCACACTTTATTTTTTTTTTATTTTGTTTTATCATTTTTACATTTACCAATGTGTGTTTGCATTCTTTGCCCCCCCCCCATGCAGAACCTGTTCCACCTCTTGTTCTCTGGTTTTGTTGAAGAGAAAATATAAAAGATAATAAGAAAGACATAGCATTTGCTACTTTAAGATAAAGTAGCTATATGGATAGATTCCTAGCATTGCTTTCATGCATATGTATATTACAACCCATATTGATTCATCTCTACCAGATATAACTACTTCCTAGTCCCCTTCTCATAGTGGCCTCTGCCAATTTAAGATTACTATATTCACTCCTCTACAGTGAGCACATCAACCACATTCAAGTCTTAGGTTTCCTTCCCTTTCCCTATTCCTCCTATGAGCATTCTCCCCTTGGTATGTGACCCATGTCCAATAATATTACTCATTTGTTTTAGGAATATAACACACACATGAGGGAGAATATGATTTTTGGTCTTCTGAGCCTGGCTAATTTTGCTTAAGATGATGTTCTCCAGTTCTATCCATTTACTTGCAAATGACATAATCTCATTCTTCTTTGTGACTGAATAAAATTACATTGTATATAAATACCACATTTTTTAATCTACTCATCAGTAGTGGGTCATCTTGGCTGTTTCCATTGCTTGGCTGTTGTGACCAGTGCTACAATAAATATGGTGTGCAAGTGTCTTTGTAATAATCTGAGTCACATTCCTTTGGGTATATCCCTAGGAGTGGGATTGCTGGATCATGTGGCAAATCTATGTTTAGTTTTTTAAAAAGCCTCCATATTGTTTTCCAAAGTGGTTGTCCTAGCTTACATTCCCACCAACAGTGTATGAAGGTTCTTTTTTCCCAGCATTATCAACAAAATTTTTGTTAGTGGTGTTCTTGATACTATCTATTCTAATAGGAGTGAGATGGAATCTTAGTGTGGTTTTGATTTTCATTTCCTTTAGGGGCAGGGATGCGGAGCATTTTTCATGTGTTTTTTTGGCCACTTGGACTTCCTCCTTTGAAAAAGTTCTATTTATTTCAGTTGCCCACTTCCATATTGGTTCACTGACTTTTGGGAGGTTTAGTTTTTTGAGCTCCTTGTATATTTTGGTTATAAGTCCTTTGTCTGATGTATAGAAGGAAAAATTTTATTCCACTCTGTGGGTAGTATCTTCAATTTACAGACAATTTCTTTTGTTGTGCAGGAGCTTTTTAATTTCATGTAGTCCCCTTTTTCCATCTTTCCTCTTACTTTCTCTGCTGCTGGAGTTCTACTAAGGAAGTCCTTGACTATACCTATTGCTTCCAGAGTATTTCCAGCTCTTTCGTGTACTAACTTCAGAGTTTCAGCTCTGATGCCTTAAAGTCCTTAATCCACTGTGACTTGATACTAGTATGGAGCAATAAGCATGGATCTAGGTTCAGTTTTCTGCAAGCAGATACCTAATTTTCCCAGCAATATTTTTAAAAAGGGTCTGTTTTTTTCCTTCATATGTTTTTGGCAGCTTTGTGAAAATAAGATGGGCATAGATGAGTGGATTCATATCTGGGTCCTCTATTCTTGTCCCCTGGTCATCGTATCTGTTATTGTGCTAGTACCCTGCTATTTTTATTGTTATGGCTCTGTGGTATTGTGATACCTCCACCTTTGCTCTTTGTGCTCAGTATTGCCTTGATTATTCATAGTCTTTGGTGCTTCCAAATGAACTTTAGGATAGATTTTTCAATCTTTATGAGAATTTCATTGGTA